AAATGCACGGTGCTGAAACATTGAGATGTTTGACAAGAAACCGCTCAAAACTTGTGCCTGCTGTCTTTTGAATGTGCAAGAATACAATTACATCGTTATCGCTCATATTAAATCTGAAAAAACACCAGTAGTATGGAAGCACAGTTAATACCCAATTAATAAAAAAAATAATAATAGTAATAAACAATAAACACTGAGTATATCTGTACAGATTCGATTGTAAAGTAGCACAGTGCTAGTCAGGAAGTCTCTACAGTCTTAGTAATTGGATTTTCATTGTTTTGACGTTTATGAAGATGAAGAAACGAAAAATGGAAATACCCGTTATCGGGATCATCTAAAATTTTGTTGAACGAAAGATTCCAACGAGTATAAAATGATGGTTTATAATCGGTGGCGATGCTGTTTTTGAATGCAAATTCACGCATCTGGTCTAGGCTGTATCGTGGAAAACTGATACTTGCTGAAGAGTAGTAACCTTAAAAATGTACATCAGAAGATAAAAGTAATTTGCTGGAGCATATGAGACATCCGCTCCATTTGGGAATGAAATTAACAGAAAAACTGTTCCAAACATATTAATAGCTGACTGAATAAATGGAGAATACCGTTTTCTATTAAGCAGAACTTTTAAACCGACAACTTCAAAAATTATCAATAACTCAAAACCATTATACAGTTTTAACAATCCCCTTAAGTGTAATCGGAGATAGCAAGATACTTTATAGCCTCAAGTCAATGAAGCAACTCTATAATTTTTAAACGGATAACTTCAAAAGAAAGAGTGATTTTTAAAAACAAATTAGAGCCCAATAACAAACCATAATTCGCAGCGTAATTGAAAGATTTCTCAGCAATAAAATAGCCGAGAGGTGTAACAATAATAAGAGCGGTGAAAAGTATCGTTCGCAACCAAGATTGTCGCTTATACTTCATATAAATTTTACCAATTATTGACTCGTCTTCATCATCCATCTCTTCTTCAACAATAATCTCTCTGCTCGGTTGAAAGCTTTCATTGCATTGCTCGTTACCGAACCGATTATTTGCATATACTGCCTTTTGCAAATCCGTTTTCACTTATACTGCTGAAAAGAAAAAAAAAAATGGAAGATAGAGAAATTTAACACAAATAACAATAACAATACTTTTCGTATATTTCTAGACAAAATGTGCTCAAAAGAAAAAGAAAAAAAAAAATGAAAATGAAACATGTACTCAATAAATTATGAATTTAGTAACAGTTGAAATTAAATATGATTGTCATTTCATCCTTGCATAGTTAAAACATTACTTGATTTTGCAATTTAATATAAGTCTACTATTCAATCTCTTTAATAATAAGTAATATTTTAGCAGATTTGATTGTAGCATGTTAAAATTTATAAATGAGATTACACGGCTAGGCCAAATAAAGCAAATGCCTATAAATATAAGTTAACCATAGATCCGAAAAAATCGTAATTTCTTAAATGAAAAGTTATATAGATGTAAAATAACAATATCAGTACAATATATCATTCTGATAACATTTGCGCTCAACATTTGCGCACCATCAATTTACACAAACCAATAAAATTATAGCAAATTAAAAGCATGAAAAATCACGGTGCATTCCTATTTCGCTTCTCGTTTCCTGTCATTCTTTTCGAGTTTTATTTGACATTGTATACGTACATATTGCGCATTGTGCGCATTATTACTAGCATTAACTTATCAAAAATTTTGAAATTAACTGATTTAAATGAGAATATAATTAGGAAAGTATTTATTATGAAAAAAAGAAAAAGAAAAAACAGTAGTAACAATTTTAGCGCAATGTTATCTTTTTTATTCGTGCATTTATGTATGTAAATTGATGTTGAAATTATTTTATATGAATTTTAAAATATTGATAAAGTGAAACTTTCAATGAATTTCATGTAATTCGTATAGAAATTATTATATATACTGAATTTTAAAATATTACTAAAATGAAACTTTCAGTGAATTTCATGTAATTGTTGTAGAAATTATTGTATATGAATTTTAAAATATTACTAAAGTAAACTTTCAGTGAATTTCATGTAATTGTTGTAGAAATTATTGTATATGAATTGTAAAATATTGATAAAGTAAACTTTCAATGAATTTCATGTAATTGTTGTAGAAATTATATATGAAAATATTATAAATGAATTGTAAAATATTGCTAAAGTAAATTTTTAATGAATTTCATGTAATTGTTGTAGAAATTATTGTATATGAATTTTAAAATATTACTAAAGTAAACTTTTACTGAATTGTAAAATATTACTAAAGTAAATTTTTACTGAATTGTAAAATATTACTAAAGTAAACTTTTACTGAATTGTAAAATATTGCTAAAGTAAATTTTTAATGAATTTCATGTAATTGTTGTAGAAATTATTGTATATGAATTTTAAAATATTACTAAAGTAAACTTTTACTGAATTGTAAAATATTACTAAAGTAAACTTTTACTGAATTGTAAAATATTATTAAAGTAAACTTTTACTGAATTGTAAAATATTGCTAAAGTAAATTTTTAATGAATTTCATGTAATTGTTGTAGAAATTATTATATATGAATTTTAAAATATTACTAAAGTGAAACTTTCAGTGAATTTCATGTAATTCGTATAGAAATTATTATATATACTGAATTTTAAATTATTACTAAAGTGAAACTTTCAGTGAATTTCATGTAATTGTTGTAGAAATTATTGTATATAAATTCTAAAATATTACTAAAGTAAATTTTTACTGAATTTTACATATTTATTACTATTATCCACATAAGCTTCATCATTCATGGATTTCACAAAAACTCTCTCTCTCTCTCTCTCTCTCTCTCTCTTTACTTGTCACCATTTATGTCCCCATGATTTATGATAACAAGCGGGGCGAGGGACCGTCCTATTTCACCTCTCATCAATACAATCATTCTAGAATATTCTCTTTGGATGGTCCCTCATTATCATAAATCAGCTGTTTGGCGCCAAAACTCTTCAACCTCTCCCGCCCAGCTCCCTCCCTCCCTCCCTCTTTCTCTCCTTTATTGTCCCATTCTTTCTTCTTCACGTGTCCCTCTCCCGTGTCCTTGGATGTGGCACATTGCTGAGTGTTTATGTAAAATGTCTGTGTATGTGTGCATGTGAAGTGTGTGTGTATCTATATAAAGTGTCTGTGTATGTGTGCATGTGAAGTGTGTGTGTGTATCTATATAAAGTGTCTGTGTATGTGTGCATGTGAAGTGTGTGTGTATCTATATAAAGTGTCTGTGTATGTGTGCATGTGAAGTGTGTGTGTATCTATATAAAGTGTCTGTGTATGTGTGCATGTGAAGTGTGTGTGTGTATCTATATAAAGTGTCTGTGTATGTGTGCATGTGAAGTGTGTGTGTGTCTATATAAAGTGTCTGTGTATGTGTGCATGTGAAGTGTGTGTGTGTCTATATAAAGTGTCTGTGTATGTGTGCATGTGAAGTGTGTGTGTGTATCTATATAAAGTGTCTGTGTATGTGTGCATGTGAAGTGTGTGTGTGTCTATATAAAGTGTCTGTGTATGTGTGCATGTGAAGTGTGTGTGTGTGTATCTATATAAAGTGTCTGTGTATGTGTGCATGTAGAGTGTGTGTGTGTGTGTATCTATATAAAGTGTCTGTGCATGTAAAGTGTGTGTGTATTGTTTTTGCAGATGTTTTGCAGTTGAATGTGTATTTGGGTGTCTGTGATCATATAAGGTCACGTGCATCTACGTATGTGTGCTTATATATACATATATGTATGTTGTGTATGTGGAGTGTATATATTGTCAGTGATTATACATGTATGTGTATGTGTGTGCGTGTGTGTGTGTGTCCGTCTGTCTACAATTCCTTTGAAATCACTGGAAATATGGATCTGCGACGGAGTACAATGAAACGTGTGTGTGTCGATTTGTCCGTCTGTCAACTCTCAAAGCTAGTGAAATTCACTATGGACTCATAATTTATGTAGTGTGTATGGGTGTGTACGTCCGGTCTGTCCGTCTGTCTGTACACCAGTTTATCTCTTGGACTGATGTAAATCTATCTGTACCTTCGGCATATATGTGTATGTGTATGTGTCTGTGTGGCAACAGAGGGTAATAAGTGAAGGAGCAGTAGTGTAGTGTGCTGTGCTGTGCTGTGCTGTCAGTAGTTAGTACCTATTGGTGAAGTACCCTTTGTGAAAGAGACGGACGGGCAGAGAGACAGATGATTACTGAGAAATGAGCAGAAGCGGGAGAAGAAGGCAGAGCGGGCGGGTAAGCGATACTGGAAGCGGGCAAAGGAGAAGAAGGTACGAACGATTTTTGCCTTCCTTTTTGAAGATATGTGTTAGTGACGCTGTTGCTGTTGCTACTGCTACTGCTACCCACCCGCCCGCCCGCCCGCCCAACCGTTACTACTGCTACTGCTATTGCTGTTGGGATTGTCGGGTAGTCTTGGAGCGTAAGGGAAGGGCAGGGTAGGGTAGGGTAGGGCAGGGGACGAGGATGGAGTGACTCGAGAGAGGGCTGAGGGAATGGACGAGTAGATGAGCTGTGTGCTATGTGCGATTGGATGATGGCATTGTGGTGATGGCGAGTTATGCCATGCCATGCCATGCCATTCCGTTCCATTCCATTCAATTCAATTCGATTCTATTTCAATCCATTTCATTTCATTTCATTTTAATTCTAGTTTAATTCTAGGCCGTTTATCAGTATTTATATTACTACTAATACTGTTACAAATATGGCTGTTATTACTTCTATTACTATACTATTTCATTTCTAGCTTCGTCTTTTTAATCCTTTTTATTTTTCTCTATTCAGTTTTCATATGCTTTCTTTTTTTTTTCTGAATAATTTTACATGTTATCATTGTTATTTTAGTTAAGAGTGATTTTTGGGTCAGATCGTGACTATTCAGTTGCGATAAATCGAGGGAAAGATGAATTAAAGAAATGGTTGACATTGTGAAAATCTTACAAATGCATGAACTAAACTTTACCGTTTTAACGATCGAATTTGAGAATTATGTCATAATATGCTGTCAGGTGCTGAAATGTATTTCAGTTACGCATCATTCTGTACCATGTCTTTCAAACGTTTTTTCGTTTGGTTAGCTTTGTTTGTTTTCCGAGAGTGTAATACGTACTTGCATGAGCAATAAAAGAGAAAAACGTCACAATCTCGTATGTATTGTACCCCCTCCCCTCCCCCTCCCTCCTCCCTCCCTGCATACATCGATTGTTTTTTATATTGTTCGTATGTGTTATAACTTGGCCATGTATGTGTTATGATATCTCATTGTGCTCAATCATCACATTGAAAAATTTATAGAAAGGTTGTGGAGGAGAGATGTGAACTTTTTGAGTATGCGACAATATAATTGTGATTCGAAGGAATTAGTTGATCTGTCGTTATCTTCGTTGTTATGGATCAATGCCTGACAATCTGTGTTCTCATTGGCGATGTTTTCGTTCATTGTGATCATTCGCATTATTAATGTAAATATTATTTGTTGCAGTTTTAACTGGTGGTGTATCGTTATATTGATTACAACTGTAATAGTTTGAAGTAGCAGAAGAAAATATGGGCAAAGCAACTGTTGATGGGAAGAAACCAAAAGCAGTCAAAAAGATGAAAGATCCAAATGCTCCAAAACGTGCAATGTCAGCTTTCTTTATTTGGATGAACGAAAATCGTGATCGAATCAAGAAGCCTGGTATGAGTGTTGGTGATGTTGCCAAAGCTGCGGGTATCGAATGGGCAGCGATGACAGATAAATCAGTTAGTTTTTCATTTTTGGTAACAAAAAGAGATAGGAAAATGTGAAGAAATGTTATTCGGAAACTTGTGGAATGACATTTGAATCAAGGATATTTAGTAAGTAAAAAGAAGGTTTAATTCGGGAAAGATTTTGGTGTTAGAAATTTCTGTTATCCAGCAAATACTTTGGTTTGGATGAGTCTGGGATAAATGCGTTTCATTCTATGGTTTTGATGCATACCTTGATTTTGCTGTAGTTTGATGCAAATGTTAATTCAATTTGTATTATTATCCAAATCATCAAGAGAATGATTTTTGCCTTCATTTTTGTCAGCATTTCCACTGTTGTCAAAAATGTGCCAACGAATTCATGCTTTGATGGGTTCTCGATAATAAAGTTTTACACGCTTTATTTTTTTTTTTTGAACTATTCAACTCGTTTATATTATAAGTATTGAGTGAAAGGTGGTTTATTATTATCTAGTTTTGAATATTAGTATTTCTTAATCAGATGGAGAACTATTGTCATTTACAAGAAAAAAAAAAAAAAAAAAGACATGCATTTCAGCAATGGGAGAAACGAGCGGAAGAAGACAAGAAAAGGTACGAAAGGGAGATAGCTGCATACAAAAACAAGCAATAGGCTCTATGAAGCATCAACAGTGGCGATAACAACAGCAACGAAACTTGTCATCATCTAAGCAGTTTCGGTGTAATTTGTTCATCTTTCCATGTTGACGTTATAATTGTGGAAAGTCATGTAATTAACCGTACCAATATTTTTTGATCAATTTTGGTCCAGTTTCTATATGGCACTTTCATCCTTTTTTCTTTTTTTTTTTTTTTTTTTTTTTGTGATCTCAGGCGAATCGCGCAAAACTTGTGTGCATAATTTGATTTGTTTTGTTGTGTCTCGCGCAGTGTGTGTTGGATGTGTGCGTACGGACGTTTATTTTATCCCAGATATATTTTTCTCCTTCCCTTCCTTTATCCCCCCTTCCTCCACCTTTTCTTTTATAAATTTTTCCTGTGTCCAATTAGGATTTGATCACTTTAACTCTGTACGATATGCTTCAATTAAATAAAAGAAAATTAGAAGAATTGATAGGCAAAAAAAAAAAAAAAAAAAAACTGCAACAAAATATCCGCAATCGACACAAATAATAATTATAGCACGCTTATTGTAGAAGATAATAATGCGTGTGATGTGTGAATGTGTGCGCATTGCAAGTCTGTATGCCGGTTTTTTTTTTTTTTTTTTTTTGTGCTGTTACTATCACAATTTAACGAAAAGTTTTAATTCCTTTTTCTTTTTTTTTTTTTTTCTTGATGTTTGTATCAGTGGATACGTTTTAACACTCTGTGAAGAAATGTCCAGTAAAAAAAAAGTGTTCTCTTGAAATTTCTTAATGAATGAATACTATCTCATTTTAAAATTAAGCACCTACTTGTAAGCTGGTTATATATTAGTAACAGCTATAAAATTTCTATAAATGCAAAAAATTTGTGTATTTGATCAATAGAATCGTCATCATCATCATTGAGCTACTGTTGCTGTTGTATGTAGAGAGGTTAAGCGGGGAAATCTCCCATTTCATTCTCTATTGCATTCATCAAATACTTGGATTAATTTGACCCCTACGATTATCTCATTCACCATCTTCTTTTAAAGTAATCGTTTAATGGTATGTCAAATTTAACTATGATCACTTCAATCTAATATCAATAAGTAATTCATTACGAATGAAAAAAAAGAAAAAAAGGAGAAAGAGAAATAGATTTAACTTGATATGAAATATTTTTAGATGTAAGTGGTTTGTTGTTAATTTAAATGACAATAACAAAAAATCTTGACACATAGCAGGAACATGATCCATATTATGATGATATGATATAATACACAAATATGATAGGTTTTATGCTTAATTTTTTTTTTTACTGAGTGAGAGAGAGAGAGAGGGAGAGATCAGATAATTTGCTTAATTTGAATGATCAAAAAAGAAAAAAAAAAAATGAAAGATTTATTTCTGTTCATTAATGTATGTGCATTTGTTGTATTTGATTTTGATAAATGTTAAAGCAATGCTTATTGTAGCACTCATTGTCTATTATTGTTTGTGTGCATTACTGTTTGTTTTTTTTTTTTCACTGAAACGGTCGTTTGTCAGTGTTTTTTTTTTTTTTTTTTTGTTTTCTCTCAAGCTATTGAATATAATATAAAAATGAAAACAAAAATTATCTGAAAATGCTTTAATGAGTAATAGTTAATTTTATTTTAACTAACTAATTCCATGAAAATAGCATATGAATTAAAAAGGAATAGAAGGAAAGAAAGAAAAAGGGAGATGCATTAAGTTAAGCTTAATAAGCATTATTAAAGTTTAATAAATAAATCAGTCAAATATTGTAAACAAATATGATATAGTTGAAGTAGTTAAAAAAAAAAAAAAAATTTTATCACTTTCAAATATTTTAGAATAAAAAAACACCTAAACATTTTAATTTAAACAAATCACACAAAGTTTATCAATGATAATTAATTTAAATTAAAGCATAAACATGCTCAATTACAAATTAAATCAACAATCATTTATAGAAAGTAAGGGGAAAAAAAAAGAATAGAAAAGAATTTAAAATTACAATTGTTTATTTTCGTTTTTTCATTTAGAATTTAAGCTAAAATAATATCTCAATTTGTTATACTTAATTTTTTTTTTTTTTTTTGCAGTAATTAGATTTAATAAAAAAAAAAAAAATTTTTCAAGAAATTTTAAAAATATATGGGTGCGAAGAGATATTCGAGGAAAAATGATGATCTCAGTCAATGTTCTTCACAAATTGTTACCGCAATCGATACATTTACTGCATCTGATTATCTTGTAAGATAATTATCATTATCATTATCACTATCACTATCATTATCATTATCACTATTATTATCATCGTTATCACTATCATTATTGTTATCATTCATTTCGTTACTATATTCTCCTTGTTATCATTTATTTGATGATAGAACAAAATATTCCATCATTTTATTTCTTTTAAATTTTTGAAAAAAAATTTTTAAAAAATAATTTTTTCAATAATTTCAAAGCATTATTTCAAAAATATTAAATAAAATAATAAAAGAAAAAAGCATAATTTATTTGTTTATATAATTTAAAAAAAGAGAAGAAAAAAAAAACTCAAATAATTTTAGTATATTTGTTGATAGCAATTTGTAAAAGATATAAAATCATTTATTCTTTTTTCTTTTCCTTTTTTTTAAACCTTTATAGTATGAATTTTTCTTTTTTAGAAAAAATTATCCTATGAAATTTATAATTTATTCAAAAAAAAAGAATAGCTCTTATCATTACTCTTATCTCTTATCACTTTTATCTTAATCATAAATGATAAATGGAAGAAGAAATTGTTAATTATTGCCAACAATTTATATAAAATTGAAATTTGCATAATTATTTTATAATATTTAGTGAAATTTTAGAATGAAAATGAAATAAAAAAAATGAATAAATTAAAATTTTTATATTTCTATAATGAATGATTATTTTAATTTAATTTAATTTTTTTTTTTTTAATCTGAAATAGTTATAAATAATCTTTTATTAATAATAAAAAAATTTGCTTGCGGATAATCCTAATAAAAGGATTAAAAAAACAATTTTATCCTTTTAGTGTATTTAAATCAAAAGTTGTTTTCTTTGCATTTTAAAATTAATATTGAATAAAATTAATTTGAAATGTTAAAATTTTAAATTAAATTAAATTAAAAAATTAAAATTAAAAATGTCAAAAAAATTATTTTAGGTTGGTGATTCAATGGATAATATAGAAGGAATGTTACGATTATTAATAAATAATCCACGTAATTTAACAATTTTTAAATATCCAAATGATACTACCCGAAGGTATTTTAAATCATTTTAAAAAAAAAAAGAATTTAAATTTTTATTATTATTATTTTTTTGTTTGAAAATGATTTATTACAAAATATAAATGATATTATTATTATTTTAAATGATAAGCGGAAATTTATCTAAAAAAAAGAAAATGAAATTATAAATTATTATTGTCAAATTTATGCAAAAAGAAAGAAACAAATTATATTTTTAAATGGTTGCAAATTAACTATATTATCAGTAATTTTTTAAATATTTTAAATTGACAAATTAAATTAGCTATATTATTAATAATTTTTTAAATGTTTTAAATGAGTAAATTAAATCAGCTATATTATCAATAGTTTTTTAAATATTTTAAATTAATAAATTAGATTAGCTATATTATCAATAATTTTTCTAAATGATTAAAATTGATAAATTAAATTAGCTATATTATCAATAATTTTTCTAAATGATTAAAATTGATAAATTAAATTAGCTATATTATCAATAATTTTTTAAATATTTTAAATTGATAAATTAAATTAGCTATATTATTAATAATTTTTCTAAATGATTTAAATTGATAAATTAAATTAGCTATATTATCAATAATTTTTCTAAATGATTTAAATTGATAAATTAAATTAGCTATATTATCAATAGTTTTTTAAATATTTTAAATTGATAAATTAAATTAGCTATATTATCAATAATTTTTTAAATATTTAAATTGATAAATTAAATCGGCTATATTATTAATAATTTTTCTAAATGATTTAAATTAATAAATTCAAATAAATCATTCATATCAGAAAGATTAACATTTTATAATCATTTGATGCTAAATAATTAAGCATTTTTATGATTTTAAGAATTTTGCTGACATTTCTAAAATTCTCTCTGTAATTTTTTTTAGCTAAAAATTCTATTGCAAATTTCATTTGTTAAATTTTAAAATATAATTTGTGAAAAATTTTTTTGAGAAAAAGAAGTTAGTAAAATGTCTATTTTTTCAAATGCTCATTTCATTTCATCGTTCAGAATAAGTGTTGAGTCAATTGCGCCAAATGCGCAAAAAGTTCAAACAAAAACAGCCTCTATCATTCGTTGTTTTAGTGCTGGTAAGAATTATTTCAAAAAAAAAAGAAAAAAATTTTTCAACAATTTAAATTTTTCAATTCAATATTTTAATTGTTTTTTCCTTCTTATTTTTTACTTTTTAAAGAGTTATCTAAATTATTTTTATATTAAAAAAGAAAAAAAAAATTTTTTTTGAATTGAAATTACTTTTAATTTTTACGATATTAATATTATCATTATCAGTGATAACATTTGTACCTAAAAATTTTTTATCATCTATTTTCATTCATATAATATTTTTAAAAAAAAAAAAATTTCAAATATTTTTAGATTCATTGTTACAAACAAATCAACAATTTATGCGGCATTCAATGCAAGGCCTAAAAGTATGTATAATTATTCATTTTAATTTATTCTTAATTAGCAATAATTAATTAATCAGATTATAATTATCAGATATATGATAGAATTTAATAAATTTAAAAGTTTAACTTTTGTTGGTTGATTATATGATAAGAAAAAAAATGTTGATAACTATAATAATTGATAAAAATGATAACATAATTTAACTTTTATTTATTCAAATTTAATAAATCAAAAAAGTTTAACTTCTATCAGTTCAAAATGATTATATGATAAAAACAAAAATAATTATGATAAATATAATAATTGATAAAAATGATAACATAAATTTAACTTTTATTTATTCAAATTTAATAAATCAAAAAAGTTTAACTTTTATTGGTTGATTATGTGATAACAAAACAATTATGATAAATATAATAATTGATAAAAATGATAATATAAATTTAACTTTTATTTATTCAATTTTAACAAATCAAAAAGTTTAACTTTTGTTGGTTGATTATATGATAACCAAAAAATTATGATAATTATAATAATTGATAAAAATGATAACATAAATTTTATTTACTCAAATTTGATAAATTAAAAAAGTTTAACTTTTATTTATTCAAATTTAATAAATCAAAAAAGTTTAACTTTTATCAGTTCAAAATGATTATATGATAAAAACAAAAATAATTATGATAAATATAATAATTGATAAAAATGATAAGATAAAAAATTATTTTATAGAATACACAAAATATTGAACCACAAACAAGTTCATCATCTATTGCTGCACCACATGTATTTATCATTGGTAATTTATTATTTTAATTTTAATAAAATTAATTTTAGCTAATATTTTTTTTTTGTTTTTTGTTTTCAAAAATTTTTCATTAAATAATTCATTAATTTTATTTATAGCAATTGCTTATAAAAATTTGAAATACGATAATTTCTGATTGTTTTTTTCTCTCTCTTTTTTTTTACCTTTTCAAATTTTTCATTTTTCAAAAATTTACTTTCAAACATTTTAAAATTTTAATTAAATATTTTTAAAATTAAAAATGAAAATTAAAATTGTAATAAATTTTAGGTCCAGTAAGAGTGCAAACAATACAAAAAATTGATGGACGATTAATGGATAAATTATTTATTGATGAAATATTAGAATTATATGGTTCAGGTGTAAAATATCCAAGCAAAGAATTAATTAATATAAAACCTAAAATTCTAAAATCTCTTCCAACGGTAATATTTGCTCAAATATTTGTTAATTAAATACTAAATATAATACTAAAATTATGCGTAATTAAATTAACTTATTTGTATTTATAATTAATTTCTACAAAATTTAAGGTTTTTTTTTCCTGATATCCTTCTATGATTATATGATTTGGAAATTATTAATTAATATAAAACCTAAAATTCTAAAATCTCTTCCAATGCTAATATTTACTCAAATATTTGTTAATTAAATACTAAATATAATACTAAAATTTTATGTAATTAAATTAAATTATTTATAATTATAATTAATTTCTACGACAATTATAAATTATTAGCAATTTATAAAAAAAAAAAACAATTTTTTTTTCTGATATCCTTCTATGATTATATAATTTGGAAATTATTTAATTATTATAATATAATTTAAATTAATAAATTAATATTTGCAAATATTTTCTTGCTTTTTTTTTAAAAAAAAAAATAAAAAATAAACGAAATATATCACAAAAAAAATTGTAAACAATTTATTGTTTATTTTTTAAATTTTAAATTTAACAAATTTTTTTTGTTTTCAAAAATTTTTAAACGAAATATATCACAAAAAAAAATTGTAAACAATTTATTGTTTATTTTTTAAATTTATTTTTTAAGTTTTTTAAATTTTAAATTTAACAAATTTTTTTTTTTGCAAAAAAAATTTTTTTCAGACTACAAAAAATATTCCAATAACAGTACAAGCTGTTCGTGTTGGTAGTGATTATGTAAGAATTGATCGAAAAATGGAAATTGATCGATCTAAAATCAAATTACAATCAGTTGCAAATACCAAAGAATTAGTGAAATTTGGTGGTGCTGAAATGATCGACGAAAATGGTTTGCTTTTTTCCTTTTTTTTTTTTTCAATTTCTTATCTTATCACTTATCTTTATCAATTAGTTGATGTAAAAAAAATGAAAAATGCAATTTTCATTTTTTTGGTTTAATTACTAATTAAATGGAAAAATTAGTTTAACAGTTAATTTTGTAATATTTTAATTTTGATTTAATGTTTATAATTTAGTTACTATATTAGATAATCTTAAAATAATTATCAATAAAAAAAAAAAAAGTTTCTTTTTTTCAATTTCTTATCTTATCACTTATCTTTATCAATTAGTTATTGCAAAAAAAATGAAAAATGCAATTTTCATTTTTTTGGTTTAATTACTAATTAAATGGAAGAATTAGTTTAACAGTTAATTTTGTAATATTTTAATTTTGATTTAATATTTATAATTTAGTTACTATACTAGATAATCTTAAAATAATTATCAATTTGATAAAAAGTTTCTTTTTCAATTTCTTATCTTATCACTTATCTTTATCAATTAGTTATTGTAAAAAAAAAGAAATGAGCATTTTTTTGGTTTAATTACTAATTAAATGGAAGAATTAGTTTAACAATTAATTTTGTAATATTTTAATTTTGATTTAATATTTATAATTTAGCTACTATATTAGATAATCTTAAAATAATTATCAATTTGATAAAAAAAAGTTTCTTTTTTTCAATTTCTTATCTTATCACTTATCTTTATCAATTAGTTATTGTAAAAAAAAAAAGAAATGAGCATTTTTTTGGTTTAATTACTAATTAAATGGAAGAATTAGTTTAACAGTTAATTTTGTAATAATTTAATTTTGATTTAATATTTATAATTTAGCTACTATATTAGATAATCTTAAAATAATTATCAGTTTGATAAAAAAAAGTTTCTTTTTTTCATTTCTTATCTTATCACTTATCTTTATCAATTAGTTATTGCAAAAAAAAAAAAATGAAAAATGCAATTTTCATTTTTTTTTTTGTTTAATTACTAATTAAATGGAAGAATTAGTTTAACAGTTAATTTTGTAATATTTTAATTTTGATTTAATATTTATAATTTAGTTACTATATTAGATAATCTTAAAATAATTATCAATTTGATAAAAAAAGTTTCTTTTTTTCAATTTCTTATCTTATCACTTATCTTTATCAATTAGTTGATGTAAAAAAAAAAAAATGAAAAATGCAATTTTCATTTTTTGGTTTAATTACTAATTAAATGGAAGAATTAGCTTAACAGTTAATTTTGTAATATTTTAATTTTGATTTATTGTTTATAATTTAGTTATTTAGTTACTGTTTATAATTTATATTAGTTAATCTTAAAATATTTATCAATTTGATAAAAAAAAATTCAATTTTTTTCCATATAAACTATATATTTGATGTGAATTTTAATATGAAATGTTTTTTATTTCAGATGAAATTAAACCAATTCGTAAATCAAAATCGGAAGCTACCATTTTTAAAATACCAATTTTTAATTTAATTGGTTCATTGGTAATTACAGCATTTCAAAATACAATTTATGATAGTAGCGGTAGTTATAAAATATACGAAGAAATTGAACTTCGTGCTGATAGAAGTACTGCAAAACCTGAAATTGTTCGTTTTTTTTTTTTTTTGTTAATTAATTTCTATTTTTAAATTATTTTAAAATTTTATGCAAAAGAAAAAAAAAGGCGAGAAAATTATTGAGCTAAAAAAATGAATTTAATTTAAATTAAAATATTTCATTTGTATAAATTTTTTTTTTATTTTGAATTGGACATTTTCGTATTAATAATTAGTTAATTTTTCTTATCAAAATAATAAATTTGAAATAAAATTAGATGTTAAAAGTTTATTATTGAAATATAAAAGAATGTATAACTAAAATTATTACATTTTAAAATTTTGAATATTTTATTAAATTTTACTACCATTTTAAATGAACTATTTAATTGTGAAGAGTTTTTTTTTTTATTTGTTTATTTTGCATTATCGGTATTGATTTACTTATACTCAAGGTATTTGTCGATTAGTTTGATTTATCAATTTATCACTAACTTAGATATGACTTAAGTTTAAATTAAAATTTCATTATTTAAGTTCATTTACCTTTTCAATTTCTATTATACATTTTGTTTTATTTTATTTATTACCTAAACATTATCAGTGATGGTTTACTTATAGTCAAGGTATTTGTCGATTAGTCTGATTTATCAATTTATCACTAACTTAGATATAACTTAAGTTTAAATTAAAATTTCATTATTTAAGTTCATTTACCTTTGTACTTTCTATTACACATTTATATTTTACTTTATTTATTACCTAAACATTATCAGTGATGATTTACTTATACTCAAGGTATTCGTCGATTAATTTGATTTATCAATTTATCACTAACTTAGATGTAATTTAAGTTTAAATTGAAATTTATCAATTTATCACTAACTTGGATGTAATTTAAGCTTAAATTGAAATTTATCAATTTATCACCGGCTTAGATATAATTTAAGTTTAAATTAAAATTTATCAATTTATCACTGACTTAGATATAATTTAAGTTCAAATTAAAGTTTAATTTGTCTTTTACTTTCCATTACACATTTATATTTTACTTTATTTATTACCTAAACATTATCAGTGATGATTTACTTATACCTTATTTGTCGATTAATTTCATTTATCAATTTATCACTAACTTAGATATAATTTAAGTTTAAATTAAAATTTAATTATTAAAATTCATTTACCTTTGTATACATCTATGTTTTACTTTATTTATTAATAATTTTGATTAAAAAAATTTTTTTTTTTTTTAACAGGCGGTTGTACCATTTCTTCGAAAGGTATCAGTGTTACCAAAAAATAAGAAAGATCAAATACCAATCAAATATCAGGAAGATATTCTTATAGGCTATAATGTGATGCTTATCAAACGTCTAATTGAAATTAAACCTTCGTTTAAAAAACAGGTACAAATTATATGAAATTATCTTATCACTTATCAAACATTGTTATCATCATTGCTAATCATATTTTTGTCATGATTATTAAGCATAATAAATGATAAAATTTAAGATATAATAAAATTATCATTGATAAGAAATAATAATATTTTAGCGTTTTTTTTTTTCATTTTATGAAAACTATTTAATTTGTAATTGATAATTTCATATTGATAATTAATCATTATCATATTACAAATCAAAAGATAAGAGTCATTGCTAATTATATTTTATCACCATTATTAAGCTACATTTTATCATGATCTTAACCTTAATAAATGATAAAATTTAAGACATAATAAATTTATCATTGATAAGAAATATAATATTTTAGTGTTTTTTTTTAATTTCATTTTATGAAAACTTTATGAAAACTGTAATTGATAATTTCATATTGATAATTAATCATTATCATATTACAACAAAACAACAAGATAAAAATCATTTCATAGAATTATTTTAAATTTTTCATTGATTAGAATTATTAAAAATTGACAAACAATTCTTCCTTAAAATGTAAACAATAGAAAAATTAAAATTATTATTGCAAATTAATTAATTAATTAATATACTTTATAGTTTTATAATTTTTCATTAAACGAAGAACGAAATTATGTCACTGATAAGACTATTTCTACTCCAAGTAGTATTACCGAATCTGTGTTAGTCTTTTTTTTTTAATTTAAATCTTTTAAAATCATTAATGTAACAAAAAAAAAAAAAAAAACACAACTTTAATAATTTAAATAAAAAAATTTATAAATTATTTGGAGAAAAAAAGCATTGATAATTAATGAAATATAAATTATTATTATCAATATTTATCAACAAACACTGATAAGCAATGAAATATAAATGATTATTATCAATATTTATCAACAAACACTGATAAGCAATGAAATATAAATGATTATTATCAATATTTATCAACAAACACTGATAATTAATGAAATATAAATGATTGTTATCAATATTTATCAACAAACACTGATAATTAATGAAATATAAATGATTATTATCAGTATTTATTTATAACTTTTTATCATTTGAATAATTATATCACTAAATATAATCTTTCATATTTACAAGTTAAAATTTTACAAATTTTAAACTTTACTAGTATTTCACTCTCATTCTCATTTTATCAAATTTAAAATTTGAATTTAAATTTTAGTAATTTATAAATAATTTATAGGTAAAAAAAGGTTTTTTTTTTTCAGACCATCAAATATTGGAAAACCAAAAATGCTTGTTTTACAAGAGCCACCTATTAGGACAGATTTTACAAGATTAAGTAGTGGTTCAGCCGAACAGGTATTTTATCATCCGGTTGAACCGGTTGATAAAAAAGATCACAAAACGGAAGAAAATTTACAAACAGCAATTGGTTCATCTGATATAATTAATGAAGGTAATTTTATTTTATTTTTTTGCTTTACAATTATTATTCAAAAAAAAAAAAAAACAAAAGTTGCTGGGAAATAAGATCAATCGATCGAATCAATTAGAATGATCGATCAGTAATAAATTGATCTTCTGAAATGATTGATCATTTGAAATGATTTAAATAATCATCTCATTAGATTATCGTTCTTGATAAAATGAATTTAACAAAAGAAAGTAAATAAATAAATAAATAAATAAAAATAAGCAACCCTAATTATATCTTAGTTCTAATTAAGAAGTTATAAAAAAATAAAAATAAATAAAAATAAAAAAATTAAAAAATAAAAATAAATAACCAAATATCTTAGTTCTAATTAGGAAGTTACAAAAAAAAAATTTTATATTATTGCTAAAAAAAAAAAAAATAAACAAATGTTATTTCTTTTAGATCGTGGTATTGTCAAAACATTTGACAAATTTCAGGTTATTCGACATTCACCATCGATTAATGGGTAGGTATAATTTAATCTGGGTAAATAATTTGGGTAAATAATCTCATCTCTTATATTTTGCTTTTAATTAACCTTCTTTAAAGTAATAAAATTATTTCTAAAAGTTTTATTTAATCTGAAAATAAAATGTTTAATTTAATATCAGATAAAATAAATGAAATAAATCTAATTTTTAAATTAGACAAAAAAGCTATGTTAAGTAATTTAAAGTAATTTAAATCTACTAAAATTATTATTTAAAATATTCCGTAAGTTATATTAAGTAATTTAAATTTATTATTTAAAAAATATTCATTTCTTACAGTGACATTCATTTCATTTGATAAACAAAAGAAGTGAAAATATTCAATGAATATAGTAGGTTTTAGAAATTATCAAAAATTAAAATAATTAAAAATTTTAAATTAAAAATTTAACAGGTCTAAGGCTAGAAAATTGCAAAGAGTACAAAGCATCGTAAGTTAAAAGGTTTTACTTATTTTTACTATTTATTGCTAAATTTCAATTTATATGTGATTTCAAAAAAAAAAAAATGCAAATAAATTAATTAAAAAATTTGATTGGCTTTTTTTTAGTAAAAAAATTAAATTCTCATTTTTTTCTCACAATTGTTAATTCAATAATTTAATTAAAATAAATTTCAAATAATTTTAGCATATTAAAATGAGACAACAAAAAAAAAAAATTATCTAAATATAATTCAAAAATATTTTTTATTTTTTTGATAAACAATATTTTAATCTCCTTTTTATAAATTTATACTATATTAAATAAGATAAAAGTAATTAATTATTTAATTAATTAAAAGTAAATAATTAAATAAAAAAAAAATTGCTATAAAGGAATAATTTCAGTTGGTAAATCACCTACTGAAGCTTTCCTGAATGCTGAATTACACACTTCACGTCCGTTACGTAACACTTCAAAACCGGAAAATCCGGAAACTATTGATTATGCATTACGTTAGACTTTTTAATTTCTTTTTTTTTCTTTTTTTTTCATGAATACCAATTGAAAACAAAATAAGAAAAATAAAAAAGTTTTAAATTCATTGCACTAATATATAACGGATAGAAATTTTGTTATTCCGGATTTTGTTACAGAAAAAAAAAAAAAAAACGTTTACTGTTTAGAAGCTCATTCTGATTCACTACGTACCGGACAATCAATTAGCACAGAAAGTACAAAAAATCCGAAACAAAGTGATTACTGATTAATTGTTAAAGTTTCAATCGATAATTAACTAATTAATTAATTAACTATAAATAATTAATTAATTAATTAAATCATCCAGTAGTGCAAAAATAATGAGTAAAATGATAAAAATTTTAAAAGTTTTATTTTAGCGAATATTTTTACGATTATTCAAAATTTGAAAATTTCAAGAATAGAGGAATTGTGATAGCATTAAATGATATGATAATTTCAATATGATAGATAAAAATTTAGTTTATAATTAAAAATTTTATTAGACTTTTTTTTTGTTTAAATCAAATAAAATATTAAAATTAATTGTTTGATTTCTTTCTTTCTCTCTCTCTCTCTCTCTCTTTTTAAAAAGCAAATCAAAAGAAAAAAAGAAATTATCATAAATAATAACTCATTAACAGATCAATTAGCAGATCAAGATGAATCAAAACAATTCAAAGAATCCATTTCATTTGCAAGCAAAGCAAAGCATTCATCAACAAATGAAGCAATCGATTCAAATTCAAAAATGAATCAAATTTCACATCCAACCACGCTGAAGACAGCTCGTTTGTCTAACTCATTTCGACCCATTTATTCATCACCGATTCATTCTTTTGCATCCTTATTTTCATCTAAACGAAATCATTTACAAAAATGTCTTCCTGATAGCTCTGAAATGGGTCGGTAATACTTCCGGAAAGTTATATTATTATTATTATTGTAATTTTTATTTCATACCGAAAGGTTATATTATTATTATTATTATTATTATTATTATTATTAGTTATTAAGTATTATTATTATTAATTATTATCAATTATTTATTATTATTATTATTATTATTATTATTATTATTATTATTATAATTTTTATATTAAATTTATATTGTTATTATTATTAATTGTTATTATTATTATTATAATTTTTATTTTATATCGGAAGGTTATATTAATATTATTATTATTAGTTATTATTGTTATTATTAATTATTATTATTATTACTATTAATTATTGTCATTAATTATTATTATTATTATTATGATTATTATTATTATTACTATTATTATATTTTTAATTTATATCTGAAGGTTATATTATTATTAATGTTATTATTATTATTAATTGTTTATTATCATTATAATTTTTATTTCATGCCGGAAGGTTATATTAATATTATTATTTATATTATTATTATTAATTATTGTTGTTATTATTAATTATTATCATTATTATTAATTATTATTATTATTAATTATTGTCATTGATTATTATTATAATTATTATTAATATTATTATAATTTTAATTTCATACCTGAAGGTTATATTATTATTATTATCATTATTAATTGTTTATTATCATTATAATTTTTATTTCATGCCGGAAGGTTATATTATTATCATTATTGTTATAATTTTTATTTCATATTTTTTTATGAAATTTTTTTGTAAAAAAAAAAGAAATTTTCATATATTACAATAATATTATAATTATAAATTATAACATTTTAACATAATTGCAGAAAAATAAATAGAAATTAATATTTAACATTGAAAAATTGTGTTATTTATTTAATTATAAATGATATAAATGAAATGTCTCTTACATTCATTAAAATATTTTAGTTTCAAAAATATATTCTAAATTTATAAATAAAAAAATTTTACAAAAAAATTTAAATTCATTCATTTTTTATAGGATTAATTTCATCTTCCAGTTCTACTTGCATAAGTAAAGATAATTCTTTGTTGAATGAAAAGAAGTATGTTAAAGTTTCTTTCTTTTTTTTTTCTTTTAAATAAGAATATTTAAATAATTAATTGAATTATTATATTTATCCATTTTTTGATTTTTTTTTTGACATTTTAAATTTTAATTTAAAATTTTATTAGATAGAATTTTATAAAAGAATAAATTTTTTTTTACTATGTAAATTTTAAATTTATTCTTTTGCTAAACTGAATAATATATTTCAGTAAATTTTAGTTTGTTTGTTTTAGAATTCAATAATTTATTCGATATTAATTATAATTCAGTAATTATATTAATTTCAAAATTATATGAAAATATATTTACTGTAAAAATTTCGAGAATTTTTTTTTTTTGAGGAATATTTCGAGAAATGCGCAAAAAGTACCATCCATTCATTCCATATCTAAAGATCAAATTTTCAAATACAACAAATCATCGCATTTTTTCGGGAATATAGATGATAAAAATGATAATGAAAAATCAACCGGTATTCGAACTGCTCGTAGCATTCCGGATCAGCTAATAGCAACAGCAAAAAGTTCACGTTTTCCTGAAACTGATGAACAAGCAGCATTAACTGCATGTGAATTATCGCAAGAATTATTGAATCGTAGTAGAAGCGCAAAAAAAGATAAACAACAACATCTCATTAAAACAACCGGAAATTTTCCTGATACGCAAATTTCATCACGGAAAATATTTTCGACCGTACAACCAACACATATTAGCAGTTCTTCATTAACTGGAATTAAATCAAAGAATTTAAAGTTACCTTCAATATCACTAGAACAAGAAAGGAAAAATGTTTCTATTGTTTCCGACAGATGTCACCATGCCATGTCACCAAAACGAAAATATGGTTTATTACCACCAACATCAAGTATCATATCAGCTACACCTAAATATTCCTCAAAAAGTCGCAGCGGTGAAAATGTCACCTCAAAATCATTAATGTCATCGCAAATATCAAAAGTATTTCACATCATTTCTTTTCAATTTTAATTTCTTTAAATTTCACCAAATTTCTTTTTTATTATTATTATTATTATTATCATTATTATTATTATTATCATTATTATTATTACTATTATTATTATTACTATTATTATTATTATTATTATTATTATTATTATTATTACTATTATTATCATTATCATTATTATTATTATCATCATTATTATTATCATTATTATTACTATTATCATTATTATTATCATTATTATTATTATCATTATTATTATTATTATTATTATCATTATTATTACTATTACTATTATTATTATCATCATTATTATTGTCATTATTGTTATTATTACTATTATCGTTATTATTATTATTTTTGTCATTATTATTATTATTATCATTATTATTATTATTATTATTATTATTATATAATCATTATTATTAATATTATTATCATTATTATTACTACTATTATTATTATCACTTCCATTAAAGTATAACAATGCATAAATAACATTTGAAAAAAAATTTTTCTAAATTTTTACTGATAAAATATTTTTATAATTGATAAATTATTATTTTAAAAGATTAATCACTTAATATTTGATAAATTGATAAATATAATAAGTTAAATATAAAAATCATAAATTTTGCCCTCTTTTAATTTGAAAATCAAATAGATTAAAAAAAATGAGAATTCAACAAGAGAATGGGAAAATTTTTAAATCAGATAGCAAAAAATAATTAAAAGTGACGAAAAAAAAAAGATAATAATAAAATGTTTTTATCACAAAAAAAAAATTCATCGAGAAAAAACTTAAGTAAATTAAAGTAAAAAAAAGACATGAAAATAACATTAATTAAACATTTGATAAAATTTTAAAATGTTTTTGCAATAAAATCAAATTTATTTCATATAATAAACTTTTACTAAATAATATTACAGGAAACATTCTCAGATATTGATAAGAAAGTACACGTAAAATCTAAGAAAACGTCAAAAGAAATTCAATCACTTGAATCACGTTTTGGACAATTGCCATCACGTTTTGAGAGATTCCCGTTACAAGCTCGATCAACAAAATCTCGTAGAAACAATTTTTTTTTTTTTTTTAAATCTTTGAAATTACTAATTTTTAATTTTTCTTACTGATATTTTTCCATTATGATAAGGATGAAAACAATTTAGCAACACGTTATCACTTGAAAGTGTTCCTGTGATATGATATGATAGTCACTTGAAAGTGTTCCTGTGATATGATATGATAGTCACTTGAAAGTGTTCCTGTGATATGATATGATAGTCACTTGAAAGTGTTCCTGTGATATGATATGATAGTCACTTGAAAGTGTTCCTGTGATATGATATGATATGATATGATATTATATGTAACACAAAAATCGGGTGACACTAATTTTCATATCTAACTTTTTATATTTATTTATTTTTTTTTTGTATATATATTTAATTTTTAAAATTCTTCTTTTTGAAATATCTATTTAATATGCTCTTTAGCAATTAATCGTTTACTTTAGTAATTAATTTTCCAAAATATAATTTCGATTAATTTCATTTAAAATTAACTTTACTTTAATATCAGTGCTAGGCTATAGCATAAAAGAAGAATGAGAATTATTTTATTATCAAATAATATTGATTGATATTTAATTTTCAAAAATTTGAAAATCGGATTTGCTTAAAATTTTTTTTTTTTTTTAATCTCTATCAATTATTTTGTTTTGAAAGTGAAATATTTTTGAAAATTAAATTGAGCGAATGATTTTATCGTCCTATTTTGCCAATTTAAATTATCAATTTTTTTTTCCTTTCTTTTAATTTTAGGACAAAAAAAATCATTTGATGCCTCTGCTAAACGAATTCGAGCAAAACGGTTTGTTTATTTTCATTTCTTCAAAAAAACAAAACAAAACAAAACAAAACAAAAACAAAAAAAAGGAAACTTTTAATATTTCATATTTAACTTTTAATTCAAAAAGTTCAGAAAAAAAAAATTCATACATTAACGTTTAAACCTATAATATAACCTAACGTACGTTACTTATTCAGAGACGTACGTACGTTGGTATAATATAGATTTATAAGTCATCTAAATCATTTTAATAAAAAATGAAATAAATAAATAATCATTTTCTAGAGTACCATCATTAATAAGTGTAACACAAGAATCGGATGATACTAAAAGTTGCTCTATACGAACACCATCAAAATGTAAGTAATTTAAATTTTTTTAAAATTTTATTTAAAAAAAAAGTGTAAAACTTTTTTTTGTTTTCTTAAATTAAAGAAATAAATTTTAGGGTTTGAAAAGTCAAAAATATTTGCAGATCAATCAGAATTAGAACAACCAGTACAAAGTAATAATTTTCAATAGTTTTACTTTAACTTTCATTTCTTTACTTTCAGTAGTTTTACTTTAACTTTCATTTCTTTACTCTCAATAGTTTTACTTTAACCTTCATTTCTTTACTTTCAATAGTTTTACTTTAACTTTCATTTCTTTACTTTCAATAGTTTTACTTTAACTTTCATTTTTTTGCCTTCAATAGTTTTACTTTAACTTTCATTTCTTTACTTTCGATAGTTTTACTTTAGCTTTCATTTCTTTACTCTCAATAGTTCTACTTTAACTTTCATTTCTTTACTTTCAATAGTTTAACTTTCATTTTTTTACCTTCAATAGTTTTACTTTAACTTTCATTTCTTTACTTTCAATAGTTTTACTTTAACTTTCATTTCTTTACTCTCAATAGTTTTACTTTAACTTTCATTTCTTTACTTTCAATAGTTTAACTTTCATTTTTTTACCTTCAACAGTTTTACTTTAACTTTCATTTCTTTACTTTCAATAGTTTTACTTTAACTTTCATTTCTTTACTTTCGTTTACGTCATTTTTTAATAAAAAATTTATAACGAACGTCAATTATACTCGATGAAATGCAATAAAATTCAATTATTTTATTAATATATTTTTTTTTGAATTACAGCAAAAAGTATTGTTATTCCCATATCTTCCACTATGCTAAAATCATCTGGCGCAAATGTACCAACAACAGAAGCGCCATTAGCATCAAAAGCAAGCACGTAAGTGAATTACGCAACGCAAAAGTAATTTTACATTGTTATATTTTCAGTATGAAATTGAAAAATTTGATGATAAACCAACATTAATTTAAATTTACCTTATTTTATAATAAAAAAAAACCAAAAAAAAAAAACTTTTTTTTACATTTTTCTCGAATATTTTCATTCAATTTTTTTATTTTTATTTTTTTAATTTCAGGACAAAAAAAGTTTCATCAATTTCTGATACATTAATTAAAAAAAAAGGATCTATGGTAATATCAAAGATTTCTTTTTTTTTTTTTCAAATTTTAGTAATATATTTTCGAATAATGAAAACAATTTTTTTCTTTTAATTTTAATAATATTTCCTTCGAAAAATAAAAATTTTTTAGTAATTAATTCTCGAATAACAATGAAAATTGCTTGCTTACTTTTCTAATTTAGATTAGTGCTTTTATCAACCTGAAATTCATTAAATGATTTACACAAATGATATATAAAAGTTTGAAATTGAAAATTAGTAATATTTTAATTATTTAATGGCAAATGTTGAAATACACATTTATATAGATATATATACTTGAATTTTAATTAAAAAGTATATATATTTAATTAAAAAAAAAAGTTTTAATTAAAAAGTCCAATACATATTCGAATTTTAATTAAAAAATAGTTATTCGAATACATATTCGAATTTTAATTAAAAATAGTTATTCGAATACAAATTCGAATTTTAATTAAAAAATAGTTCAGATATTTTAAAATGGAATACTTAGGATGGTCAGAAAGATGGAACTTGTATAATGATTCTATACATATAATCGAATTTTAATTAAAAAATAGCTATTCGAATAGAAATTCGAATTTTAATTAAAAAATAGCCATTCAAATACATATTCGAATTTTAATTAAAAATGGAATATTTAGGATGGTCAAAAAGGTGGAACTTCAATAATGATTGAATCGAAAGATGACGAAAATCTTACCGTATGTTTCATTTATTAATAAATTGTTCTAGCAAACTGTAAAATATAATTAGTTAAAAATTTTTTAAATCACAAATTATTTTACAAATTTTTAAATTACAAATTGGTTTGCTAATTTTTGAATTTGCATTTAACTAAAAATTTACATTAAAAATTTTTCCCTCTTTTTTTTTTACTTTAAAGAAATTTTGATTGAAATGAAATATGAAGATTTTTGAAATTGAAAATATATTCTTAAAATATATGATGAAAAAAACAAAACAAAACAAGTAAACAAATAAACAAAACAAATAAATAATAAACAATTAGAAAAAAATGAAAAAGAGATGAAATTAGTTTCAATTTTGATAATTATTGCTAATATTTGAAATTAATTTTTTCAGATTCAATTAAATATAAATTTACAAGTGAAAAATAAAGATGGTAAATTAAGTGAAAAACAAAAGCTAAAACCGGAACGTATACTGATAAATGATCGTGAAGTATACCGGAAAAGTGAAAGCTATCATTTATAATTCATTCAGTTTTTATTGAATGATTATCTTTTCCGAAATATAATGTTGAATATAGCATAATAAATTTAACAGTAAAAAAAAATATGAAAGTTTGTTTTATTTATTTATTTGTTTTTTTTTTTTTTTTGGCCATCGAAACTTTTAATTTGTTCCGGAAAAAACAAAGATTGCAATGAGAGGAAAATCAATATTTTATCATAATTCTATGTTTTTTATTTTATAAAGGCTTTTTTTTCAAAAATTTAAAACAAACATAAACAATAAAAAAAACAACAACAAAAAAATAAAAACAAACATAAACTAATCCATATTTCCGGATGTTAGCGTCTTTTCTGGAGAATTATACTGAAATGGTAAATTATAAAAGTTTTTAAGTTTAAAATATTTCATTTATGTTTAAATATATTATTTAATTTTTTTTCGAAATTAATATCAATGATATCAGATTAAAATATTTTTGCCGGAAGTTATTATGCATAAATAAATTGATAAAAGGATAAATAAATAAAATGATAAATAAATAAACGATATAACATTATTTAGAATAAATTATTATTCACAAATAAATGAATAAATAAGTAACCAAACAAATAAATAAATAAACAAATAAACAAAAAAAAAACGATAGAACATTATTTAGAATAAATCTATTATCCACAAATAAATAAATAAATAATAAATGAATAATGAATAAATAAATAAACAAGCGATATAACATTATTTAGAATAAATTGTTATCCACAAATAAATAGATAAATAAATAAATGAAAAATAAATAAATACATAAATGAGTAAATAGATAAAAATAAAATAAATAATAAATAAATAAATAAACAAACAACATAACATTATTTAGAAAAATTCATACCTAAAACTTTTGTGTTTATCCAATAATTGATGGATTATTGTCGATATGATTTGAAGTGGTTGAATTAACTTGAAAATTGACACTAATCTGTAGTGACGTGATTAGTGTCATAAAATCACAAACAAATCAATTACGTAAAAAATTACAAGAGAAGTTCAAAGGTCAAGAGAATAAAATAGTTTAAACTAATAAATGAACAATTAGATAAATTTAAAATTATTTCAATCAAATGATAAAATATGTAACAAATGATTTCTAATTATCATAAAAATTCTTAGTGTTATCAAATTTAGCATAATTCAAAAGTTTAAAATTATTTCAATCAAATGATAAAATCAATTATTTTTTTCATAATTTCAAAATTTGATCTGAATAGTTTATCACTAAAGAATGCTATGATTAGTTCTGATAAGCTGATTGGTTATGATAAACTGATTAAATAATTGATTTTATGGTTGAAAGTTATCATCTGGACTGAATTTATAAAGATAAGAATTATTATTATTATTTTTAATTAACAATTAAAATAGAAATGTGGAATTAAATTTGCTTTATCATTTTAAAAAATAAAAAAAGAAAAAAAATAAGAGGAGAAAAATGAATGATTTAAATCATTTAATGAAATTTCGAAAATACTTTTAGATTATTTAATTTCATTTAAAATTTTCTTCTTTTTTTCTTTCTATTCTAAATAATATTGAATGGAGTAAAATTGATTTTTGAAAATGTTTCAAAATTTTACATTTATTAATTTAAATGTTTAAGAAAATGCTAACAAATTTCTTTTTTTAATAATTAATTTTTACTAATGAATAAAATTATTACTAATTAATGCATTTCTCTCCTACAAAACTTCAAAATATCATTCAGTAATTTTAAAATTACAATAATAATAATTAATATTAGCAATTTCAAGAAAAAAAAAATATTGAAGCAAAAAATGAAAAAAAAAACTTTTATCAATTATTTGCAATAAATTTGATATTATATTAAAATATTATAAAATTATAAAAAATTATGTTAGAAAAAAAAGAAGAATAATTGATTAAATATTATAAAATTATAAAAAAAAATTGATTTTTTATTATAAAATTAATACTAAATTTTTTTTCATCTTATTATTTGAAAAAAATACATTTCTTCAAAATTTTAATTTTCACTTCCAATAAATATTTATTAATTTTTGTTGCTATTCTTTTCATTCCTTAACTTTTTTTTTTTTGTTTTTTGCATTCTTTCTTTCAAATCTTATTCAATTCATTTAAATTGTTAGATTTTAAAAAATTAAAAAAAATTTATTTTTAATTTAAAAACAAAAAAACAATTTATATTTCTTTTGTTTTTTGATTTATTTTTCAAAGGTTAAATACAATTTTTTTTGCAAGTATTGGAATAGCCGCAAGGAAAAATAAATTCCGTCGGCGTACGTTTCTGTTATTATCATTTGGTGATAGTGGCGGTGATGGTGGCGGTAATGGTGGCGGTAATGGTGGCCGGTGGTGACCTAATCGTGTATGACCGCAACAACAAAAAAAAAAAGAAATAAATTTTGAAAGAAAAGAAAGAATGTGATTAAATTTTCGAAATGTTTGATAAAATGTTGAAGAAAAAAAAAAAAAAAAGATAATTCATTTTTTTTTTTCTAATTCTTTTCTATCAGTAATTTTCATATTTACAACTAATAGACATTAAAAAAAAAAAAAACTATCAAATCTATTCCGTGATGATACATCATATTTTTGTAAATTTTAATTTTTCATTAGTTCATTTCAAATAAAAGATATGAAGAAAGTAAGAGAAAAAATGGCTATAGATAATTATGAATAATAACAGTATTAGTAATAATAATAATAATAATAGTAATAATGATGATGATGATGATGATGATAATAGCAATGGTAATAATGATGATGATGATAATAATAACAGTGATAACAATAATAATGATGATAATAATAATTATTAGTAATAATAATAATAAGAAACAATATCAATAACGACGGTGATGACAACAGTAGCAACAACAATGATAATTAACAACAGTAATGGCAACAATAACAGCTGATGAGAGCAACAGTAATAATAATAATAAATAGTGACAATAATAAATAATATTAATAACAACAGTAATGACAATAATAATAACAACAATGACATTCTTAACAACAGTAACAGCAATAACAACAGTAAAAGCAACAGTAACAGCTAATGAGAACAATAATAATAATGATAATAATAATGAATAATGTCAATGACGACAGCAATGGCAATAATAGCAACAGCAATGACATTATTAACAACAACAACAATTAACAACAGTAATGGCAGCAATAAAAGCAACATTAACAGCTAGTGAGAAGAATATAATATTAAAATAATGATAATAATAATAATAATAATAATAATAACAATAATAATGATGATGATGATAATAATGGCAATAATAATAATGACGATAATAGCAGTAACAATAGCAATAATAAATAACATTAACAGCAACATTTTCAACAACAAAAACAAGAGCATCAACAATAATAACAAAAAAAAAAACAACAACAACAATAACATTATGAATGACAACAAAAGCAACAGTGAGAAAAATAACAAAAGTGAAAAATGTGATATGAATGCGAGAAAAAAAAAAAGAGAGAGAGAGAGAGAGAGAGAGAGAAACTTTGAATCGAAAAATTCCTTGTCACCAAAAAACTGGAAAACTTGTCGTAATTGGATGGAAATTTACAATTTTGTTTTGAGTAAGGACAAAATCACCATTTCCTTTTATTTTTAGACCTTCTCGATGGTACAACAATTTTCCCTTAACTCTTTTTACTTTTAGCTTTTCTCTCTTTTTTTTTGTTGTTGTTTATTTTGTTTACTTATTTTGTTTATTTTAAATTATCAAATTTTGTTTATTTTAAATTATCATAACAAAACTCTTTTTACTTTTAGCTTTTCTCTTTTTTTTTTTGTTGTTTATTTTTGTTTGCTTATTTTGTTTATTTTAAATTTATCATAAAACAACAACAACAACAACAATAAAGTGATAAAAACAAGAAGAAAATTAGCATTTTGCAAAAAATTTTATGGCCTTTAATTTTACATTTTATTTATTAATTCATCTTGGCATTAAATTTTTAGTGTGAATTTCAAAAAAAAAAAACAAATTAAAATATTTTATTACAAATTTTGAAAAATAATAAATAGTGTAGAAATAATATCATTTGAAATTTCATATAAATTAAAAGATTATTTATAAATAACATAAATTAATTATTTTTGATTAATTAATTAATTAAAGCTCAAATTGTTTAGCCATTTCCATTAGCAGTGAATGTGTCAATTTATTTTATTGATAAATTTTTAATAAATTATTTAGCACTTTTGAGTAAGATGATTGTAAAATTTTGTTTGTTTCAAATAATTCATCAAAATATTTTCAGCAAAAAAAAAAAAATAAAAAATTGCACCAATCATCGCTTTATTTCAAGTTTAATTTTTCCTTTTTTTAAATTAACATTTTCAACTTATCAAATTAATATATTACTTTATTTTTTGTTTTTATTTATCAAAAAAAATAGTATATAATTCATTTTTATTTAAATTAACATTTTCAACTTATCAAATTAATATATTATTTTATTTTTGTTTTTTATTTACCAAAAAAAAATAGTACATAATTCATTTAATAATTTATTTATTTTACTTTTTAAATTTTTTTTTTACATTGTTTTTTACTCTATTATTTCAAATAACTCTTACAATAAACGAAAGTAATCGAAATAATTTTACTTAATTAACTAAAATATTACTCTCAGATAAATGAGGTCAAATGTCACTTTGTCATTTTAATTTATTTTTATGCGACAAATAATAAATTCAAAAAGAATGAATTTTTTTTTTGTTATTGTCAATGTATGAAATATCATTTATAAATATTCAAAAAATTTAATTTTTCAATTTCTAATTTTTTAATTCTTAATAAATTATTTTGTTTGAAAGTGATAATTGATTGGAAAAACTTCTAATTAGTTCATTTTTTGAAATGTTTCATTTTCATTTTCGTCTTTTTTTTTTTGTAATTCTTTAAAAGCATTAATTAATTAATTAATTAATTAAAATTAATTAGCATCAA